ATATAATATATTATATTATTATATTATACTAATATAAGTATGTGGCATAACATTAAAGAGAGCTTTTTTTTTTAAGTTTAATATTACTGAATATATAAACAGATGCATTTTTCATCTATTATAATTTCACTTTATTTTCAATTTATTTTTTTATATTCAATTTATTTTCATCTATTATAATTTTAATTCCCCCATTAGCAAAATGAAGATAATATTAATAAAGTTGCCTGATAGATAGAATTTGGACCATCTGAGTTTCAGCATTCTTCACACACGATTACCCTGAGATGTTCAGCTTGTTTCCCACTCTGAGTGCTCAAACACTTCACACAACCAAGGATTTGTCACAACAAATCTAATGAAGTGTTCACAGTTAGTATTTCTCTGATAAAGCTCAGAAAAAGGAAGCCTTGGTCTCCTCCTCTTTGTGTTCTGGTGGCAATGAGGACAGCACTACCATGTTATCCAAGTTACAATAACCTAATACATCTAATGAGAATATATCCTCTTTGGCAGGGGGATTCATTTCACGCTCAGGAAACAACAACTATCTAGACGGACACCTGAGCTGGTCACACCAGCTTCCTTTAACATGAAACTGGATCTGGGACAAAAGGAGAGGCTGAAGGACCAGCTGGAGAGAAAGAAAAACTAGGGGTAGAGCCAAGTAATGGAAACCATGGAAGAACAATGTGAGTGACAGTGCTGAAGTCAGATGAGAGCTGAGGAGGAGATAAAGAATGGACAGTTTGAGGTTCTGGCCAGGAGAAAAAAAAGCCACAAGTGTAAAGGTGAAAGCTGTTTCAGATGTGCAGAAGGGATGGGAGACTGTAGAGAGCTGGCATATGTTTTGACTCAGATGCAAACCCTCTCCCATCCTACAGTTCTGGTGTGTCATGGATCTTCAGGACATCACTTCAACGCTCCCAGACAGGACCACTGACCACTGCCAGGTACTGGCAGAAACACTGGTGGTGTCTTGACACAGTAAGACCCAGACATCTCCTGTCCACTCCACCAACAGAACCTGCTCTAACTGCCTTGCTCTTGAGCTACACATACATCTCATCCTCAGTGCAGTGATTTCTGATCAGTGCAGGTTTCTTTATCGAGCAGAATACGTTCATCCTACACACAGCTCTCCTCTGAGGAAAGGATTTCTGCAATAGTAGAGATGCTGTCATGTCAGATCTAATCCTTCCACAGAGGAGGGAGATAAGTGCCACTGGTGACAGAAAACTGTTTTCCTTGCCAAATATCCTCCTTCTGTTGGCTAATTAAACCTTTCCTTAGTGAAGCTCCACACAAATCCTCTCATATAATTTAGACATTCAAAGAACATACAAACCTTCTCAAAAGCCTAAGAGATATTATTGATTTTCATCTCAAAATTCTTGTTCTAATGCAACTGGCTTCCCATATTAACAAAATATTTGATGCAAACCCATTAACAAACAGGTGGTCACATCAGTAAACAAGACATCTGAGATGGTCACCATGACCAGAATGGTCCACAGTCAGGGATGCTTCAGAGGAACATGGACTTCTAGAGGTCTCAAGAACAACCTCTCATGCAAAGCAGGAGTAGTGTCCACAGTACATGCCATGGCAGTGGTCAAGCTGGAGGGAGGTCACTGTCTGGAAGGCAGAGCAGATGAAACAAGTAGCTCTGTATTGCTGATTCATCCCAGATAGGGGCAGCTCCTCTTACCTGACGCAAGGAATATTATTTGAAACAGCAAATTTGCTGTAGATCTCCCTCTGTGACAGGAACTGATTGAGGTCTCCATTTTCCATGTACTCTGTTATCATGCACAGTGGGTCATCACGCACACACACACCCAGAAGCCTGATGATATTTGGGTTCTTCAGCCGTGACATGATCTTGATCTCCTTCAGGAAATCATTTCTTGTAAAAAAAGAAAACAGGTTTGAATCTTAACTATTCCTTTGTCTAGGGAAAGCAGAAGTAGCATGTAAGAAAGTCTCTGTTCAGAGATATTTATATATCTGCACACAATAAGTCTAAAAGATGGTTCTCTGCTTTTCTTCAATATTGATTCCTTACCCAGCAAAGAGGATTAATAAAGCACTTCAAGGCTGACATAATTATGTCTATTCCCATCCTCCACTCCCTGCTTTTGTCCTGTTCCTTACCTGAACACACACCAGAGACATATGTCACTATGTTAGACACGTGTCACTTCTTACAGAAGTCACCTGTGAGAAACTGTTGCTTGGAGAGTATCTGCTTTCATCTCAGATGGTCAGCATTGTGGATGCTCTTACCTGGCTGTTTTGTTGACATCTGATCTCAGCATTTTCACTGCTACAAGAACCGGCTGGTGAGTGAATTCTGTAGACGAGACACCCAGGAATTCCAGCAGACCATCAGCTTCACAAAGGTGCACCTGTGGGGCAGAAGGCAGAGGTAACTATGAGAGTAGGCAGAGGCAGAAAACCAGAGGAAAACAACATCAGACTGAGGTCACCAGTTTGGTCACCACTGGCAGAATGACCAAGTGAATAAATTAATGAAGCTGACATTGTTCTGATCAGAAATAGCCCATAGATTGGCCCCAAAACCTGGACATAATTAGTACATACACTACGTAGCCCATGACGTAGGAATGGACATGGACTGTGGCCTGATGTGTCCCCAATACACTGAATCTACTGCACACATGCAGACTGGTGCAGTTACTGGGGCAGTCCAGTTTGCCCAGCAAGTATTGGTGATGTTCAGGAAGGCCACTGTGCCTGGGGTTGTTTGCTTTACCCTATATGGGCATGCAAAGAGCATCACTGCAGCAGGTTGGGCATGTACAGCACATCACACCAGGTACAGACGTACAGAACTGTCCTACTGCCTGGCTCAAACTTCACTCAGGAACATCCAGGAATTACAGACAGCTCTCCAAAGGCCTCTAATTCCAGAAAAAAAAAGGGAGAAAAGCCATGTGTGTGTGTGTGCAACGTTTCACCTGTGAATGTACTCAGATTAATACTCTGAAGTGTACACTGAATTCCAAGTTTCTTCAGATAAATGAATAAAGACATAAAATTACTGCCAGGGTTGTATAAGAAAGGGGGTGACAAGACATTTGGCTTAAGAATTTGATCAGAATGCATATTCAACTGGAGAACTGGGCAAGAGATGCTGGGGTGAGGAAAGTAGACAGACCTGAGTGTGTGGAAAAAGGACTGGAGGAGGGTAGCAGACTGGATGTGTCAGTCAGACTTGCAGCAGTGAGGGGAATGTTTATATGAAGGAAGCACCAACAACTTACCTGACAAGCATGAGGTGAGGAGCAAAAGGAGACAGCAGAGAAAATGAGACAAACCCAGAGAACAGAATAAAGAGGATAAAGATGTTGCTGCAGCTACACAGAGAATGAAATCTGCTGTGGTCAAAGTACAGTCACAAGACTAGGAAGAGGAAAGAGAGCCCTGGTGCTAAGGGCATGTATTACAAGCACAGGTAACGTGGCACTGAGTCCAGAGAGTGGATGGTTAGGAGCAAGGAAGAAAAAAAGCTTGAAAGGGAAGGAAGCTCTGAGTGGAGAGGTGAAAAAAAGCAATGAGCCATGTTGCTAGAAGGAAGACTGCACACTAAGCCAGAGCATATGATGACCAGTTTGGTAAAGACTAAGGAGGTGAGAAGGAGAGAAGGAAGAATGTGATGCAGCACATTTGCAAGAGTGAGGAAAGGAAAAGAGTCTGTGATGTGAGGAAAGGAACAGGCTCTGAATCAATCTCCAAAGAAAATGAAGATGGAGAGCCTGGCTGCTGCTGTTTGACAACACAGAGGAGGAGGAGGAGAAAGCTTTGACAGTTATTAGGACAGGAACGAGAGAGAAGGAGAAACCAGAAGCAAAACAAGGAGAAAAAAGCCTCTCTCACTTCTGGAGCACAGCCCAAGACAGGGCAGGACCCAGGCAACAGCAGAAGGGATTGCACTGACAGCCAGGTGAAGAGGTTGAAGATATCAGCAATCTCCAAATACACTGAGTGATCCAGGAAGAA